TTCGTAGTTACCTGAAGAAAAATAACTGGTTTCAAGACTTTGTAAAAAAAACTGACACAAAATTATATTTTTTAAAAGGATTTGTATGCTTCTTTCTCTTTTTGGATATGTTTTCATTTGCCAATGTTAAATTATGTTACTTTGGTACAAACTTCCTCATGAAAAACACTTTATACCATATTGCATTAAATTTATAGTATTTATTCTAAAGCTTTATATGTACTTACTTTTGCTCAAATATGGGTTTGAAATTTCTGCGTCCCTTATTTCTGCGATCAGTTATTTAAATTCAGCACAATATAATAGGAGTATGCCACGTGCTTTAGTTGACATTTACAATGTTGATAAATTAGCAACACAACTGAAATAAGCTTATGTTAATTCAACATATTTTTTCAACATCGAAATAGAAAAAAAAATGAATGACAATCCTTTCTCGATTTCACGTGCACGACCAACCAACTATCCCAACATAACAACCATATTTATCTTTTTCAAAAACGCACAAGATAGTTTTAAATCTTAAATTTTCAAATTAACTGCGGTGGTATATTTACCCTGTAATCCAATCAACCATGTATAATACGTTCGAAGCCACTATACGTGATTGTTTACAACTAGACCTTTGAAAGCGTTGTGTAATATCAAATAATTTTTCAATTGAAATTATTCATTTTTTTCCCAAATGTATGATACGTATAATTACGGTATTTCATAGGTTTAGGTGCGAAGGAAGTGACGCGCTCACCGTTGACTGTAGATGTGGTTTAAAACTAACGAGCACAGTGCTGGGCAATGCAACAGCATGGCGCTTTGATAATTTGGCTGTCTGGGCGTATATATACATTTCGAGAGAGTACGTGTCAAGCATTAGGTTTCCATAGCGACACTTTGAAATATGTCCTTGTCTGTTATAGATATGGTAGTTTGTCATTAACAATGCATGAAACAAGTAGAGCAGAACATGGTTAAACTTGGGTATGCAGGGAAAAAATTACAGTCAGTAACGTAGTAGTTGTCAATATCAAGGGTAAATTTAACGAGTAGATTCACAGTTTATATATGTAAATATTTGCATACTGTATGCACATTCTAATACACTGTGTGGTAGCATTTGGAAGTTCTAAATCCTAGTGTACTATTACATAAATCATTGTCTTAAAGTTAAATAAAAGAAATAAGCCCTTGTAATATCAAATATATGTTGAGCAATAAAAATGAATGTGTTAAGTCGAATGAAGTCTATTAATAAACCCTTTTCCTCTTGTGTTCTAGTTTTCTAATGAAACATATTTGTACAATTTCTTTTTTCAATTATAAAGGTATTGGTATATATAGAAATAATAATTGAATAAAATCAGTTCCAATTGTAAGGAAAACATTATGTAATCATCAAAACGACAAATGTTAGTAAGTTTTTCTTCCTTTCGTCATTCCCTCTGGTAACAAGTACGTAGTAATATTGCACTATATTTCGTAATGTGTTTTGGAACACCAACTGAAAAAAAGAAGAGTTTTTCTCCAGTTTCTGTGGACATAGTTGAAATAAGCACACCAAGCGAAAACAAAACCACTGTGACAATAGTATGGATCATTTTAAATTGTTTCAATGCAAAAAAAAATCATCATATAGTAGCCCAACGCCAAATGTAAAATGGTTTATGAGTGTTCATGGGAACGCTTATCAGATAAACTAAACCAACTCTCTCATGATCATTTAAAACTACAAAGGTTTTGAATCTGCCACAAGTGCTGCAAATATAAGTGTCAACAGGAAAACCATGGAGCAGAAATTTATTTTACAGGAGCAAATAAAGAAGGAGCAGTCGTAGTTTCACCAAAACATTAAATAATCAATTAACATTTACAAATGTAATTATATGATAGACACTAGGCACTTAATATATCATTATCACGCTTATGTAGAGATAAGATACATATGGACAATTAGTTGATATTCTCTGTGAGGGAACTTTTTTTGATATCATCTTTGCATTGGTAATGACAATAAAACTAATGTTACAAACAGTACCCGGATTGTTTATTATTTTACGATTATGTTTGTCGATAGAATTAAAATGATGTTGTTTGTTTCAAATATATTGAAATATTTATTGTTTTTAATGTCAATAATTGGAATGTACCGCCGCTGAAGTCTCGAATTGATGAACTTTGTTATGAATATATATACAATCATGTATTTGTTAATATGTGTCTTTATATATAACATAACTGCCTTATTTTATGTTGTTAGATTACAAACCTGAACAAGGCAGTCTGAAGGACAGCTAAATCCCCTTCCGCAGTGAACATGGATGTGTACTTCTTAACCTTTTACCAGCTACGACCTTGATGTTATACCATGCATATCATAAGCTCATAGTCTCATGATGGTGATTATATGTGCCATGTTATTTAAAATCTTCCATAAAGTAAAAAATGTTATTGAGAACATATAACCTTGACCTTGGGGGTAGCAACCTGGACGTTGAAATCTGCACATTGTGGCATTGTGGTGATCATTTGTGCCAAGTTATTTTAAAACCTTTGAATTGTCAATAAGTTATAGAGAGGACATGAAAAAAAAGATGTTTTTTAAATTGGACCTTTGAGTGTGACCCTGACCTTCAGGGTTGTGACTTGATTTTTGTGCTCTGCCAATGGTGTCATAATGGTAATCATTTCTGCCAAGTTATCTTAAAAACATTGCAGCGGTTTAAATGTTATGGATAGACACGAAATGTAAACTATCTAACATTTGACCTTAAGTGTGACCTTGACCTTGGAAGTAGCAATTCAATTATTGCGCTCTGCACATCGTGCCGTAATGGTGATCGCTTAACTTTTCAGCAGCTTTAATTTAATGGAGCGGACACGAATTGTATACCTTTTAACACTTGACCTTTAAGTGTGACTTTGACATTGGGGAAAGTAACCCAATTATTTCGCTCTTAACATGTTCTCATAATAATGATGACATGTGCCAAGCTATTTAAAAGAAACAGAGGTTTAAAGAAATGTAGACTTTTATACATTTGACCTTTAAGTGTGACCTTGACATTGGGGGTGTAAACCAAAGTTTTACGCTATGCACATGTTCTTATAATGGTGATCACTTGTGCCAAGTTATTTTTCAAAAACTTCAGCGGTTAAAAAGGTATGGTGCGGACACGAAATGTAGACTTTCTAACATTTTATCTTTATGTGTGACCTTGACCTGTGGGATAGCAAACCCAATTATTGCGCTCTGCACATTGTCTCATTATGGTGATCACTTGTGCCAAGTTATTTAAAAACAATTCAGCAGTTTAAAAGTTATGGAGCGGAAGCGAAATGTAGACTTTTATTATGAACTGAAGACATTTTAACATTTGACCTTTAAGTGTGACCTTGACCTTTGGGTAGCAACCCAATTTTTGCGCTTTGCACATCGTCTTATTATGGTAATCACTTGTGCCAAGTTATTTTAAAAAAAATCAGCAGTTTAAAAGTTATGGAGCGGACACAAAAGTGTTACGGACAGACAGACGGACGGACCAAGCCTGGGATTTAGGCGTTGATACTTTTTGCTTATCTATAACATACGCGCTATTTCATACTCGATCGTGATAGATAACGTACAACATATCTGGTTTTGATAGTATCAACGCCTGGGGAAACCTGCGGGGTTTCCCATGTAATTATCGACTAATGATAATCCTATTAATAGACCGATTAGCACGTGACCAACAAATTTACCTGATTAAATCGAAATCGAGGCGAAGAATATGAATGTTTAAAATTTGACGCCATTTACTATTATAAATTGCGTCCAGCAAAATTATCTGATGCTAACAAACTTTATCCAATTTAACTTATCAAACCTGTTGATCGAAATAACTCATCATGCAATAAACTTTGTCAACGAGTGTTATTTTAATCGGAAATGGTGTTTTGAAAGCGATGCTCCGTAACTGTTCGTTGAGCTTCGGGTCACTTCGTGGAAATTCCATTTCTATTTTTAGCAACTAGTTTGTCGTTGCATGAGTTATCGTTCTTTAAATAACACCCGTAATTTTCGGGGTGAATACTAGGTGGCGCTTCGATCGAAAATCGTGTTTCCCCAGGCTGTCGATTTGCCGAACAGAAACACATAAAAATCGACAGACTGGAACCCAGGCTAGGACGGACCGACAAACGGAGGCCATTCTTCTAATCAACTTTTCGTGGAAGGGAATTAATAACAGAACCAGTATCAATGAGTATAATACTGAGCTCACTTGACCAAATACATGATATGATTTCTACAAAATTTGAATATACTGTTTAAATAATTGAATATATCGTTAAATGTCAACCCCCTCGATGGATGCGTATGTATATTGATACCGCCTCCGTGGTCGAGGGGTTAGAGTCGATGACTTCTAATCCAGTTACCTCTCTGACTCCGGTTCGATCCCCGGGAGATGCTTTGGTAGTTTAGCGCGGAGGAAGGTAGTCTAATACTGGTGTAAATCTCCAGGAACGATGGTTAGGAAACTACCCGCCTATATGACTGGAAAAGGCGTAAAATGAAACAAACCAACAAAAAACAAACAAATGTATATTGATATCGTACCCGATTTTGTTTAAACCGTCTTCCACTATGGTAATATCATTTAGATTCAGACAGAACTCGATAGGCAATCACATTATAAATTCTAGATAACATAACAAGCTAATATGCATAAAAAATAAAGTAAATAAATAAAGTAATTCAGGCCAATATTTTATAAAGTTAAATGAATGTGTTATAATAAGTTATCTTTAATGCAGCAAATAAAATATGGTGTTAATCTTTTACAATAGCTACGATAATAGTAGGAGTCTCGTTAAAAATCAATTTTATTTTTATTTAAATACTTTACATAGAGAAAACTGTTATACATGTTTTTCTTTATCAGTTTTTATTTTATGAACGTGTAGGATATTGTTTACACAAAATGTCTAAACCAGGAAGTTTTGCAAACTAATGCACATAATATATGAAGGCAATTTACCTGTGTCAAATTTATATACGAGGTTACACATAAATGGACTATGCTTGCACGCAATTTCAATACTGTTTTAGGTAAGTAGAGTTCTTTTTTAATTACATATACATATTAAATATGTTGAGGTTATTAATCATCGTTTAGTACATCAATCAGTGAATGAGACGAGTACACATGTTTTAAATGTGAGTTGACTTGGCGTTAGCCGAATATAAATATTAGATATAGGTGTAAATGTAATTTGTATGCTCATTGCAACTAAATGTATGCAGACCCAAACAAATATTAATTAATATCAAATAAGGATTTACACGGAGTATTACTTGTAATAATTTATAGTTTGTTCGATGTCCATTTAATTAAAAATTATTTGATAATTAACTTCACAGTTGGAGCACTGTGTGGATCCGGCCCGCAGCTCTTTACCTGGCCTTTTACACATTAACTTTTAAGTCAATGAAGATTTCAAAACAGTGATAAACTCTTCTTTTTATACGAACAGAGAAGAATTGACTCGGAGTTATATCGAATCACGTTCCCAATTGGACGATATAAAGTATCAGCAAACTTGTATAGACTCATATCCGGTGTCCTTGTAATAGGTTTCCGCATCTCTAACAACTAAGATACCAAACTCCGCGCACGGGTTACGATACGGCCAGTCACCACTGCCTTCACACAATTCACGTGTCTTATCACATGCTTGTGTAAAAATGGCGTATACGCCAATGAAATCGTTGAAAAATGTTTTATCTGTAATAAACAGCGACATTAAAACTTGAACTCTGGTCTCAAATATGTCGATATAATTGAAAAAAAATGTCGAAAGAGTCAAAATTAATGATTACTTGAATGATTTTTCTTTCCAGAGGGGTCATTGTTTTTGAAATAAACGGTGCGGTATTAAAATTTTTAAAAATTATTTTCATAGAATCTAATATTTATGTTTCCAAAATTATTTTTTATTTTAGTTCACATCTAACACCTATCGGTCTTGAAACATTAGCAAAACTGTGTTTGCTTTTTAAAATAAATATAAACATTGTGAAATTTCGTACCGTCAAAAATCTTGACGAAAATGTTGTGATAGCAGAGATCTAATCCTGTAAGGGGAGATCACTGCGTAGGAGAGTGCTGAGATAATGGACTGTTTATGTTCTGTCCTGTTACGCCTGACTCGAACCATAATATATATTATCTGTAAATGGGTATACTGTTTCACAGACACTTGGGCAAGGAGCTCAAAACGCCTTAAAAATCCAAATAAAATGTATATTTGTCAATCCCAGCACATGTACTGATCATACATATATCAAATAAATTTAATGTAAGTCGTTTTGAAAAGAAAAAAATCATATTTCAACGTCTATAATAATACACAAGATAAATTTTATAACCGCTTTGTCGTATGCAAATTCGCGCGCTTTAATGATGAGAACCAGTCGGCTAAAGTCGGAGTTATTCGGTAATATGTTGGTTCTCACCTTCAAAGCGCGTGCATTTTCATACGGCAAAGCTTAGGTGCCGACGGATTTTGAAAACGGCGAAAATCTTGATGTTTTTTATTTCGCCTGTTGCGTTGTTGATATTGGTGTTGAAGTTTATAATTAACCATCATAGTAAAAAATAATATCATTTGTGACGATGGGCAAAAGGATTAAGTGAAAATATTGGAAATGAAATAAAAATACACGGTGGTTTTGACGGTAGGTGTGCGGATTTTTTCCGGCGATCATTTTTTAATCTTGTGTATAAATACACGGGGGAGAATCACGCCGTTCGTTACCCAAATAAACAACATGGCGGATGCAGCCAAAAATTAGGTTTTTTCCCTTTTTTCTCTGAAATTCGTGATGTTCTAATGTAAAAGTACATATAACAACCTTCTCCACAATTTTCCTGGCACACGGGATTTTATTTAATGATGTTTCGTCCAGTACTTCATCTAAAATGCGCGTTACCAGATTCGAAGCGAGAGAATTTTCCACCGGTTTGATCGTGGTAACGTACGGCTTTTTTCTCAAATTCACTGATTCGTTTACATATATGTATATCAACTGAAACCACGGATTTTAAAAAGATGTAACGTGTCGTCATTTAAGCATTCATACCCATTCTGGCTAGAATAACCACTGAAAATATTAATATCGGGGCATTTTCTGGAAATGATAACGTATGGCGCACAAAATATCAATGATAACGTACGGCGCATTTTTTCTGATTAAATGATTTTCTTAATAATAGGAAAGTTATGTTTACAAGACATAAGAGGATGTGTAGAAACAAATAAAGGAACAAATAATATTAGTGTTCAGCTTTATTTGTCATTCAGTGAAAGCGCTGTATTTCTTAAAAATTCTTTGTGTAAATTTTCATAGAAGAACAAAAGTCGATGATATATCAAAGTCCGTTCATAGGAGCCTCCTATTTTTCATGGTGCTTCATAGAACCGCGTTTGTGCAAATGGACAGGTATAGTGACGAAATAAAGTTAATATTAATGAAGCCAAATAAAGCTTGACACAAAGTATGTTTGTATTCATCCGTAACTGTTTTACAGAAATAAGAAATATTCTCCGCCGTCGAAGTTTCTAATTTCTGTAGAACAACACGGATGAACACTAACATATACATGGTAAACACTAGTTTAAGAGTAGCATAATTGTTTTTAAAACCGTTCTTTCATAAAGATAATGACGTCATCTTAGCGCATGATCGGTCTGGCATCGAAATCCAAATCCGATTTTAAACTTTATATTTAACACTAGAAATTAAAGAGCAAATTCCAATGTCACTCTATTTTTGCTGATGATTGTTTTGATCAAATTATGACGTTCCTTTCATTTATAATTATGAAATCAGCAATTGATGCGAAGGGACCTTAATTTTTTTTTAGGATATGTGTATAAACATATGGTATGCGCATATGTATTAAAGTCAATTAATATACAACAATTTTGCATTATTGGTTCATGTAATGTATGTTTTTTTTTGTATGTGTGTACATGTTTATGTGTGAATGTAAGACCTATAAGTTATTGGTTAAAACATCAATTTTGATATGGAAATGTTCATTATGTAACTACTTAAGAAAATTTCGGCTGGTATTTACTTTATCAATCAAAATTGATCTTGGATCTAACTCCAAACTTTTTTCATGATTTTTGATAATTATTATGTTTATATGAACTGTTCGTTATTGTGCATGTTTTATGTCCTCTCATCAGCCTTAAAGCCTATTGGAATAAAATAAAATGTCTACTATCTGCTATAATAAAAAAAAACTGTTAGGCTATGTCGCGTAAATATACGAGTATCTGACGTCATAGTGGCACAATGTCACGCTAAATGGAAGCGTTTCAATATTAACCGCCCGTCAATTAAACAGAAAATTTCTTATTTACTAAAGTCATTGAAGTTTCTCGGATAACATTATTTTCTAACTCATTCAATAAATTCAATATACAGCCTACACTCATTCATTATTCTCGGTTATGTATTTTTTTCTTTCAATGAGCGACCAGATTGAATAAACACAGGCTCATCTCATTTGGGTGTAAGCAATTCGTTTTGTAAATGTTTAAGATATCAGAGATTTATTAGGAATGATTTTAGACTTTTTCTTTGGAAAAGAAAATATACCAAGCCTTCCGTACCTTTTAGACATTTTTGCTCTGCTGAATGCGTTTCTTCTTTCTGATACGGGAATAAGACCATAATTATCGCACAACACTGGCGAAATTTAATGTGTAGACAAAACTACACAAATGTTTTCTGAAAGTGGATGCTTTGCTTTCCATTCTGCATTTTATACAAAATATTCTCAAACTATACACGTGTGTTTTAATTGGTATATTAACCACGGATATCTATTATGCCACCAGCTAGAAAGATATTAATTATCCGATGGTTTAGCATTGTTCATTTAATTATTTCTGACCTGACCAACATTTTTTTCAGATATCTATCATTTCCTACATCAAAATAATTCATTATCAGCTGATTGGACAAATAGAAATCCACCAAATAGTAAAATGCACCGTACGTTATCATTGACATTTTTATGCGCCATACCTTATCATTTCCGGAAAATGCCCCGATATTAATATTTACAGCAGTAAATCTAGCCAGAGTGGGCATGATTGCTAACTTGACAACATATTACAACTTTATGTAAAAGAAACAGTGAATTTGAGAGAAAAAGCCGTACGTTACCACGATCAAACCGGTGTAAAATTCTCTCGCTTCGAATGTGGTGACGCGCATTTCAGATGAAGTACGGGACGAAACATCATGAAATAAATCCTGTGTGCCAGGAAAATTGTGGAGAAGGTTGTTATAAGTACCATTACGTTAGAACATCACGAATTTCAGAGAAAAAAGGGAAAACCCTATTTTTTGGCTGCATCCGCCATCTTGTTTGTTTGGGGACGAACGGCGTGATTCTCCCCCTTGAAATATAGACGTTGAAATACGATTTTTTTTTCAAAACGGTTGATAATATTTTTTAATATATATGATCAGTACATGTGCTGGGATTGACAAATGCACATTTTATTTGGATATTAAAGGCTAGTTGAGCTCCACACCCAAAGTGTCTATGCACTGTTTATTCCAATTAGTTATTGTTTTATAATTTATAAACAGTTAAATGCTGTCCCGGAATCTAATTGGCAGTTTTCGATGGAAATGTAACATAAAATGCCTCTTTTATTTAGAACATAATTATTATTATGATAACTGTAAAAGGTAGACAAAATACATTTTACAAAAGAGGATAATAACCGTTTAGCATTGATTTTGTGCATGCATAATTTGCTTTTAAGGAAACTTAAAAACATATATCTTTTAAACAGGTATTGTGAAGATTGTTTTCAAACTTGTACAAAGCTTTAATTTATTCACTAAGTCGTATATTTTTAAACTATTGTTTCCTAATATTGTTATTTCAGGTATATTTCAGGAACACAGCGATGACGTATAGATTGACAGTTTTGGCAATTTGTGTTTTAAAAAGTAGGCATACTATCTGCTTAGTTAAAAAATAACTGTGCGTTTTTAAATGTCACTAATTACATACGGATGAATAAATCACCTCTATCATTGCGCAAAAACCTGGTGTTGTATTTGCACAATGACTTCGAAGATGATAAGTAATGAAGTACCGGTAATGCATCGTATTTTAATGATACAACGTAAAGATGGTTATAGGTTCATAATCTTACAGATATTGATAAATGGTGCATACTGTTTTGTGACTGATTACAAGGATAAATGAGGTCAAAGATGTAAAAATGTCTGTTATATAGCTATGCCTCAAAAAACATATATATCCAATTGCTGATAAAACAAATTAATTGAAAGCTACATCCAGTATATAAGAGATACGGCTATTTTGTGTGTATCTTTCAAAATAACCACTTGCGAAGTATTTGATATACCTCAGCCCTATTATTGTTTGTGCACCAGTCAAAAATCATGCTGTAATGATATCATATAAGTATATGTAATTAAAAAAGGAATGAATAAATGCACACATAGGTAAATGCTTTCAAAAATAGGTAATAATTATAGGTACATTCGACACTCGTAAAAATATAACCCTGTAACGTACGAAATGAACGTGACTACAATTTGTTTACCAGTTGACCCATACACTCATTCCGTTACAATCACATCTTTTTTTAAGAAATTTAGTATTTAAAGTTTAAAAGCAGATGATGTAAAATATAGTGGAGGCGTGTTTGTATATACAAGGGATAAATTATAATTGTTATTTTAATTCTGATTTCTTGATTCATGCTATCCATTTTACTACATTTAAGCTTCTGGTTGTATTGAATTTTGAATTTTATTTCAAGGTCATGAGTCCATTTCAACGCCGGATCTATCTCCAGAGCATGTTGATGTGTTTGAAAATGAAAGTATAAAGTTAACATGCAGTGTATCACTTCCTGGCACAACATTTCGATGGTCTAACACTCCTAATGTGTGGAACAGAATAGAATGTTACAATAACAAAAGTTATCAGTTATTTACAGGCTTTCTCTCAGAAGGCAAACATTTATACGCATTTTATTGTTTTGGAAATGGAAGTTTTACTTTGGAAATATTACGTGTTGAGGCTAGTCAAAACGGTCAAGTATGGCAATGTGGAAGCTTATTTGACAGAAGTAATGGAGTGACAATCAATGTAAAAGGTAATAATTTCTTTTGCCATTTTCAAATTGGGATAAACGATTTTATGTTTCTGTGAGCATTTATCGGTTAATCAGTTTTGACTATTTGAATAAAGAAACGATACCTAATCAACGACAACAGATAACACGTTTTATTTTATGCTTTTCAGTGGATTACTGATTTATCCGTGAAAATTATATTTGGTAATTTCACAGTGAAAATTATCAAAATATAATTTCACTTTTTTCAATGACGAAACTACTTTTTTAAGATTTTCCCCATGTGGTACCTCAATTTTATTTTTGCTGACAATTCTGACAATGTCAGGCTGTTTAAAGAAAAAGCAAAGCTGAAATTGATAAATACCTTAAACGTCAAAAGTAATAAAAAGAAGAAAACTTACTTCTATTCATTCAAATTCCATTCACCAAATTTCGTCTCTAAATTTTTTGTTTCATTTTTACAGTCTGAAAAATACATTCCTTCCACATGCAAACTGCTCTTGATGACATTTGTTCATATTAAAGTATCCTACGAGTAATAACTGCCGTATGCTTTATGAAAAATTGAAAAGCAATGACAGCTACAGCTCGTAGAACAAGTAAACCACCCAGCATTCCGAGCAAGTTCCAAGTCATCCATTTTCATAGCTGCTTTTTTCATGTTTTCACATCTGTCAACACTTATTTTTTGTCTGTTTCAATCCTCAAATATGTTTTCTTTCTTTTAAAAAGGTGTATGACTTACAATTCCAAATGATATCCCTCTGAATCAAACACAATTATTTTCCTCCTGTGAAATACACAACTTTAAAAAATGGCTGCCGCTTACATTTAACAAAGCCAGGTCTAATATAAATTCGCAGTAAGTAACAGAAATATGGATGGATGGTTGGAATTTTCTCCTACACGAATTGTTTGTTTTTATTATTAAAACAAGCGATCATTCATATTTTTTAAACAAAATAAATAATATCACTGTCATTTAATGTTGATTGTCGGACTTATTTTTTAGCTCAAGACTTCTTGTTTTTAATGAGAAATTCGCACGAAATGAGGCTCTCAATGGGGAAACAGATTTTAATATTTATGTTAATATTATGGAAATTTCGTTTAAACTTGTTTTTTAGCATGAAATAAAAAGAAAATTTGTTTGTTTGTTGTGTAAGATGAAATTTTATTTAAATATCCTCTATATATACCTCAATTCGTATTAGACTTAATTAACAGAACAATGAAAAAGTAATGTATCTGACAGACACAAACCAACCATGTAATTTAAAGCAGAGTAACAACGTTTTCAATACACATTTCCTGAATTAAAATATATCATACGATTACATAAGCAATGACCTTATTATGATGCAAAAATGGTATGATGTATGTCAACTGACAGCATCTATTATACATAAAACAGTGAAAAGCATTTAAAGCTCCTATTCAATTTTTGAAATGAATTATGTAAATTAGATGCTTGTGCACTTGTTACTAAAATGTTCAAAACAAATAAATGGCGATTAAACGATTAGTTCTAGCCTATTAAGTAAAGTGGACTAATGACGTTAAAACATTTTATGAGGCTGGTATAGAATTACAACGCCAACAAATGAAATCTTGTCAAAACACAACGACTGATAACCATATTCCATAAAGCGACATTCAGTAAGGAAATTTATCAGTTACGCTTTTGATGATGTCAAACGTTATCAATCGTTCTATTTATAAACACATAACTAATTTATATTATGTTTCAAACGATTTATAGATATCATATATTCTTACATGTGGCTTTTAAATTACTCTTCATTAGGGTGGATTTGATTGAATTTAAAAGTATAAAATATCACTTTTCCTTAAAAGTAACTATAAAATTCTATAATAAAAGTTATCAATCTAAAAAAAATTATTTATTCTGATTTTATAGTAATTTGTTTTTCCTTCAGCCTATCAAACGCAAATTATTTAATAATAACATTTTTGGATGTACCGATTAATACATCTTGCTTGATTTCTTTATTAATATTTATGTGGATTTTCGATATCACAGTTGCTAATAAATTTACATTTTACAGTTCCCGTTAAAACTGTCTCTTTACAAGAACCTTACCAGGAGTATATGCAGGAAAATGAAAATCAAGTGATCACGTGCAACTCTTCTGCTGGCCGGCCAGATCCGATTGTAAAATGGTATCTACGCAATCCTAGAGAAAATAATAAATATCAACTCACACAATTTTCAAGCAGCACAATTATACCAGGGGATCATGATCTTAACGCTGTCGTGAGTACTTTGAACTTCAAGCCAAATAGAACGATAAATGAATGGCGCCTTTATTGTGAAGTTTGGACTAGAACTTCGGAAGCAGATATAACTAGCAAAGAGATAACTGTTAATGTGTCCTGTAAGTTTGCTATCGTTTCTATTTCATACACGACATGATCATAGATATGATCCATAAAATATAATGATATGCCGAGGATTTTTATTGATGCTTAAATAAAGAGTCTCTTCTATTTCTGATACGAATTACTGTTTTAAAGAAGAGGGAAAATACTTTATTTCCATTTGACATTTACTTTCCAAAATAGTTGCAATATGTCAACAAACATGATACTCCAAAAAATGTGCACGTAAATTTGACTGAAAAATGTTTACTATCAAGTATGCATGTACCTAGTATATGTCGTATTGAAATAGAATTTATTATAATATTGTCTGTCAAAAGTCGGTTGGCACAAAAAGCTTCTACACTCTAATAACACAAACATCATAACCTCTTGCTTTCAAAAACAATTAGATATAGGAGAGTAAAGGACATTTACATTGTAAATCTATAAAGTTGTTTTCAACTCTTCCTTGTAAGATAATGAAACAATGCATCAGAAACAATATATTTAGGCTTTATAAATTCACAATGAATGATTAGGAAATTACCTCGTTATCACCAGTTAGTAAAATATTGGATACAGTTTCATACTAAATGATACATTTTTCTTATTTCATATAATTAGGTTTCTAACAACTTTCGATTAAAATCAAAGCACTGAGCTTTCCAATCGTATATATGTACGATAACTAAAAGATATAATTTATAATGCTCAAATTTGTTATTTTTAATTGATATTGATATTTTCCTTTTAACTCTAAGATGAGCAAAGTATATCTTTAACATGCATTAAAGTAATTAATCAAATTTAATACATTGTAAATAATTCCAGATCCCCCTGAAAATCTTCCAATAATACAAGGAATCGATACCAACAGCATTTTGCCAGTAATTGAATCAGAGTCGGGTACATTTATCTGTTCTATAACCGGTGGAAATCCACCTGCGTCTTTGAGATGGAACTGTTTTGGAAGCACTTACATGACATATGATATCCATGAAAACAATCGTGTAACAAGCACAGTAAATTGGAAGGCGAATCGTTATCAGAATAAATGCTCTTGCATATCAGAACATATAGACAACTGGAAAAGAATAATAAACGTTACTTTCAACGTACAGTGTAATTTCCCTTTTTTTTTTTTTTTTTTTTTTTTTTTTTTTTTTTCATTTTATCTTTTTTATTTTTCATGTAAAGGTCTTCATAATAACAGAAGACGTACGTTAAATGATAATTCTTGGATACGGAAACGTTTTATTGAACCAAATCGGACTTACACACTTTTTATCATGCAATTGCTTTTGCAAATTATCTTAGCGTTATATGAAATATTTAACTTGTTACTTAAATATTCATATGACTTGTTACGTTAATTAAAAATATAGTGTATTATGTGTTATGATATTCTAATTATTAAACTATATTTAAGATCCTCCAGCAAAACCGACGATAAAGATTGGACACGTTATTATTGTTGAAGAAGTTCGTGTTATAAGGTATAAATCGTTGCGTGTGATCTGCGAAAGCAAGAGTAACCCATCTTCTAACTACTTTTGGACTGGTCCAGGCACATCTGATAAAGTCGGTTATACATTAGACATAGCAAGCGTTAATATCTTGGATCAGGGTGAATATAAATGCCAGGCGTCCAATAAGATGGAAAGAATGGACAATTCTTACATAGTCGGAAGCAATGGATCATCATTTAATTTAACTACTCTATGTAAGTGAGGAAAATTATATTTCAATAGGATTGCAACGATCACATCTATAGTTCATGTTACTAAAATATAATACACGACTAGAACAATAAAATGACATTGCAAAAGTTGCTATAAAACGTTGTATATAATGATGTTTCCGTATCTTTTTCTTAAATTTGAATATAATTATTTCCATCCTTAACGTTATGATAACCTTTTCTGCAGACTATTATATGACTACATAAGTGTAATTTTTGTTACAGATTTTTCCGGAACTCCAACGTTTAGGTTTGAAGGCATGAAAGGTCAGGTTATTGAAGCAAATAACTTAAAAGTAGTGAGAAATGATGCATTTTCAATATACTGTGATGTTAAAGGAAATCCTACTCCTAACGTAACGTGGGATACAGGACACCAAGGTCCTAATTTAGACATTTCCTCAGTTTACTCGGACATAAATAGAACATGTACAGCAACAAACGTGATGAGAGAAACTGCAAGTGAACTGGAAATGAGGGCAATGTCGACGAATTCACTTTTAATTGAAGTATTTTGTATGTCATTACCTTTACAATTATTTTTAAAAAATTATACAAAAAAAATTAACTGAACAATGCATTTTGAAATCATCAGTATTATAAACGAATATGCATATAGAAAGGAAACATTCTGCAACCTAATGCAATATATTGCGCTATATTTATGCACATGCAAAATGACAAACTTATACAATAAGCTTTAATTGACACATTTCTTGAAAAAATGTATCAAGTATGTAATCGCTTCCATGTCTTCATTTACATGGCTTTAAAACTTTTCCGTTTCAGACCCACCTAGCATTCCGTCAATAAATATTTCAAACAATAACGACGAAACCATTCAAGTTCACGAACCAATTGTCACTGTTATTGAATCGGACAGAATACATTTGACATGTTTTTCGAAGAGCAAACCATTACCTACATTCTCATGGGAGGGTGATCGATCAGATAATACACATGCGACGAATATATTGGCATTTCAGAACATATCCCGAAACGAAACTGGGTCGTATACATGTAAAGTAGGAAATGTTATGAGGAGATCATTTGGCAAAATTGATGAAGGGAAAAACAAGTCAACGATACATTTAAACGTATTATGTAAGAATACTATTAAATGCATATGAAGCTATAAGAACTCATATGTTCAGCACTTATGTAACATTAAAGCAAGCAGTTAATACGAAGTATAGATGTAAACATATATTCGATTTTAAAACCTTTTTCATTTATATATATATAACATTCGATTGTATGTTTGTATGTACTTAAAAGTTAAAATGAAAATAAATAAACAAATATTTGTCTAGATCCAGCAATCATTATGCCTACTGGAGACAGAAGTATTGCCGAGGGATCGCAGTTGTCTTTGTCATGCCCTGTTATAAACGGGAATCCTCCAAACTTCACAACTTGGTCCAGACGCACCGATCAAAGATTATGGAACCAAACATTATATATTCAGAATGTTTCACGAGCAGACGACACTGTCTACAGTTGTAGTGTAATAACGGAGATGTTTCCTACCATCGGGAGTCCTTTGAGAGTTGAAAGAAAAAATTCGTTTCATCTTAATGTTTTCTGTAAGGCTACATTTATGGGGTAATGCGGAATATTATGGATCATTGTAAATTATTACTTTGTCAGCGCCTGTTTAATCATTTTCTCGAAACTTTTGATTGAGAGAGAGCATATTTTGTTTTTGTTTTTGAAACAATATGTTAGGAACACTGAAACATAACATATTAGTTTTTCAGTAACAAAGCAATGCTTGGCATATATTTAATTTGTTCTTGTTAATTAAAATAGGAAACCAACTGACGAAAGATATGTAGTGGAAATAACATTCCTGTATTTTGTTATTTTCATAACACAAATACTTGCCTGCTAAACGTAACAAAAATGTTAGATATGTTGGAACGCGTCTTTCAACATATATGCATATTTAAACTATTTTTACCCTTCCTGTGGTATTATTTTTATTTCGTCAGTAGTTTTTATTCAAATATTACGTTTGCAAAATTTTGATACTGTTACAATAATGTCATGTTTCTCAAGACTATTGTAAACATTTGTAACGTAAGAAAATGTTAGTGTCTCAAACTAGACTGAAATGTTTACAATATGAACGAAACTTAAACAGGACTTTATCGGGTAAGAATTGCTGAAATCGGAAATCTTACGCATTATCCCTTAACTTCACTGAATGTTGAAATTCCATATTGCGTTGAAAGTAATATTAGTCATATTTTAGAAAAAAGAACTGTCTAAAAACACATTGATAACACGTTCATTTCGTTTAAATTACACATATGCAGTTGAAAAAAGAAGGATACTTCTCCAGGCCAGCTGAAATGAGATAAGATAATAATTACTGTAGAAAAAGTTTTAAGCTAGTTTTAAGCTACATATGTCTGTACTTTAAGTGACACTTTGTTACATAAAGAGCAAAATATTTCTTAAATTGAACATTGGCAAATTATTGAGTTTATAACGGATTATTTTCAACCGTTTACTTAATGTCCATGTCCACCCGCTAAGCTCAAATGGACAAACATAGAAAAAGTAATTTATTGGCAACTTGTTTGATTCTCGGGCGAGGCGTAATTATTCGTTGATCTAGTCCATTGAGTCAAATGATCGTTGATTTAGAAATCAGGTAGGATCATTAGCCGGTCACTTGCGTAGATATTGGCTATTACTTGTTTGTTATCAATGAAAATCTGTTATGTGGCTTGATCACCGGTATCTGACCACCAAGATATGTTTAAAAATCGTAGTAAAACACAGAAAAAGCAAATAAACTTATTTTCACCGTTCTACTTTCAGTTCAATCTGAGATAATAAAGTTTTCCGTATCAACAACAAGTTCGGTGAAAATTGTTGTGATTAACAGAACAGAAAATACATCATTTATCTGTATTGCTGTAGCAAATCCTCCGTCGGACTTGTCTATTAAAGACCCAGCGGGTGATATAATTTCAGATGTATCAAAGCAAAATACTGCACACCATACAATACATAATGCTTCATATATAAATGCGGGAGAGTATATATGCACTGGAAGGAACAACTATACAAGTGGCCAACCAACAAGTTCAAAGCTGATTCTTATCGTTAGAAGTAAGACTTTAAAAGTAATCAAATAATAAGTTCAATTAACATTTGAATGTTTTACGGTGCATTTTTTTGCTTTATATCGTTCAAGTGATAATAAATGGATTAAAAAAAACTGCTGTCGAATGTAAAACTTGATAATTTGAACCTTTTTGTTATATTTGTACTGTTTATTGATAACAGAAATGCACATTAGAAATATTATTTCAATTTGCAGCTCAGCCAAGACCGTCTTCTGACGACACAAGCGTTCAGAAAGTGTCCACAGCTTTGTTCATTGATGCAAAACTACAATTTGTAGCTTGGAATTATCTTGACAAACCAAATGAAACAGTTTTCAGTTGGTTTAAGGAAAATGTATCAATACCCGACAACGACAGTAAATACATGGTTCATTCAAATGAACTACAAACAAATATTACAATTAGGAACACAACTCAACAAGATTTAGGGCTTTATAAATTAAACGTTCAAAACTCAGTAGGAACGTATACTCACTTTTATGAACTGAAAGCAACAGGTAAATTCATTTTGTAGTTGGTGAATTTTGCGCTATGTTAACATTTGGATAATTTATGTTAGGATGTATTCAGATGAATACTGAATAGATGATATATTTTTATCTATTTGGAAATGTAAATGTCACAAATACATTTATATCTTAATGTCAAAATTAACTTGTAGGAAACTAGTCAAGGTATGTTTTTTTAAAATGTAGGTTCTATAATAGTTTGTTGCGGCGACTATGCTAATTAAATAACATTTAAACTTGATATATTAACATAAAAATGTACATTTTACAGATACGCCGGAGACACCGCGGGACTTTCGTGTCATTAACGACTCACTAACAGACAGGTCTGTAACATTGACATGGAGTCCAGGTTTTAATGGGGGATTTCAACAAATATTTGTTATAATCTACAGAAAGAAGAATGCAAATATATGGTTGGACAAATCAACCAAAGATAATGGTGATAAAAGCATGAACTATACTTTATATCATTTGACCAGCTCGACAGAGTATGAAATTGAAATGTTTTCAAAGAACATGGAAGGATATTCAAATCTTACAGAGCGTCTTCGGTTTAAAACTAAAGGCAAGTGTGATATAATTATATTAAAGGGAACATAATCGTGAGAGTAGTTTTACAGAACTTTATGTCATACACGCGCGCAAGCATACACATGCACATTCTTACATGTAAAAAGAACGGTTAAATATATTAAATTAATTAGGAATTTGTTTTTGTCTTTTTCATAAATATAAACAATAAAAAGGCCATTTGAATTAATTAATATATTCAAGTATAATTCTCATAGCTGTTAAGTTAGACATTTATATTTTATTCAAAGTTATTAAAAATAGGAATATAATTATGACAATTTATATTAATTTAGAATATGCTAATTGCAACAAGGTACTTTTTATCTATAACTCCATTCTATTCATAATTGTTATATTTTCATTATGCATAGGACAGTTGCAAATCATTTTTGAACAAATGGTTTGTTTTGTTTGTTTTGTCCACGCACTAATACATATCAATGCTAAATCGGTACATTTCAAAGGAAAAAGTGTATGAAATATTTTAAAGAATATCATGATAAATGCATATTTTAATGAGGATGATCAGAGATAAGCGTTTCTTGGTGACAAAGATAAAATGGAATTCTTTAGAGGTGTATTTGAATACAAATACAGCTCATCTTTGACCTTTGGTACATGTCTGATTCAATACTGTAAAATTAATTTCGATCACAACGAATGTTACAATTAAACGTGTAATAATTCACAATTAAGGCTTCGTTTGTTAAAGATAAATAATTCTTTCAAAAACAATTAAAAATTAATGTTATTTGGAAACAAAGCATATGTATATTAAATGTTCTTCTGTAATTATTAAAGTAAAGAGGTTCTTTAAATCAAATTGATTTTCTTTTTCAGAAGCTTTCACATCAGAAGCAACATTACAGTCGGGAGACAGAAGTGGTATTATAGCAGGGAGTATATCTGCTGTTGTTATAGTTGTTGTAATAGTCGGTGGTGTGTTGTTCCTTCAGAGAAGGTAAAAATAAGGTTTCTTAAATGTACCAATCTTTTTGAAATATCTGCATACCTTTTCTTCAACCTGTTTTATGAAATAGCTAGCAGCGAAAATATGTTAATACCGTACAAGGCGTTTTGTTGTGGTTTCGTATTTGTGTGACAAATTATAATTGTGTGTTTCGTATTTCATTAATTGTACTGGCATGTTTATAAGCTATAGGATATGTAGTCATTGTACGGAATGACGCGAACATGGTATTTTATATGCTGTGTGAATATTACCGTGTTAATACTTCTGCGAATGTTGAAGGTCGCTGACGGTAGATTGCACTTACAACCCCACCCTCCCCCCACACCCGACTTTCATTAACTGATCCAATCAAACCGAGCTTGCAACATTTTAAATGTTGTAGTTTTTGGTCGATTTCAATGTTTTCTATTTTATTATTTCAAAGGATTGTTTGTTTCCTAACACTTTTCTAAATATATATTCATATAAGTAAACTTCGTGCCCTATTGAGCACCTTTATTACTCATAAAAAATAAGGTGTAACTATGATGTTTAGTTTGCATTGTGTCATTCTAATTTACAATCTTAAAAACAAATTATACACGGTTGATTTCAGGAAATTTGTGTTTTCTCGTAGCAAAAGTCATACATCAGGTAAATAACATTGAAAAATAAAAGTGCATATGTGTTTTAAATCAATGCTCTAACATAATACGATAACTTGTTAAGTATTTGTTTTTATGTTTAGTTTGGGGCTTCTTGTTTTTATCTTTTTATCTAAGCTTTCTTTAAATCATTATAATACATGTTTGGGAAACGTTGATTCTATTGATACCCACATTACTTGCACAATTTATCTAGAATGTTATCCATTTTTGTTAAATATACATATATATTAGTATGTGTTTGTTTTTTACACAAATGCCTGTTGATTTAGGTGTCACTGACAGTCGCCATGTTATATCGACAACCAAAAGTCACGTCTCACCAGAATACACAGATTTCGATGCAAGTAAGAGAGATATAAATGTATATGATAAGCTTCATGTACCAACTGTCAGCGCATATGAACGGCTTGATACAGCAACACTTGGGCCAACTACATACATGGAGTTGAAAGATACCAAGAAATTAAATACGGACGCTTCCGACTACGTTAATATAAGAATATAAACAATTTAATCGATATTGACGAATTGTGTTTTTTAAACTTGTTCTACATGACACCATTGTTAAATTATGGCTTAACCAAAATTTAGTGTACGGTTTTGTCGAAATTTGCACTTTTCTCAATTAAATTGTCATTACATTCATCGAGCTTAATGATTGTATCTTGTAAAAATATTTAACTTGTGTAAAAAGAATTAGAATTTTTACTTTACCCCCATATTTTAAACGCTTGTTTTGACATTTTCATGTTGACAGCGCTTAATTCTAGATATCGTCAAAATTGACTAATTTACTAATTTTAGGGCTTTGTAAGTTGATCCTTATGGTAGATTTTCAATGCGAACACTTGTTCCTCAATCAGAAAACCATGAACAAACGTTCAAAGGGAGATAACAGAAATTTAAGTACAGGCAATAAATTATACTTGCTGTCCATCAGTCCATTTAATAAAATCTCATAACAGTCATAATGTTGGCAATCATATAATGTCAAATAGTACATTGTTGAAGATTAAACAAACCATTGATAATTTTGTTGACAGTATGAAGTATAATATGTGGCAATAAACAACGAAATAATTAGTTATCATAATGATTGTTTTCGGTTAGCTTGAGATACATTATCTGATATCATATATGTATAATAATAATGATAATAAATTGCTCTATAACTAGATATTATTTTTCATCATATATTTTTATTTTACTAAAAGCTCTTAGAACTCGATCAACTTTTTTTTTCAGAACGATTTATACTAATGTCTACACTATACATTGTAATTGTTTTATCAATATTCGAAATACGAAAAGAAATAATTGCAAAATTTGTTGACCAACCCACTTAAAATGGTGAAACTATAACAATTGGAAATTAGGGTACGTCTGAATTAGTTGCCAATTTGTATAATCTATTAACTATCATATGAATTGAAATACCATAATCTGGGAAACTTTACACGGAAGAACAAAAATCAAAAGTGCGATGTCCTGATTTGCTTTAGGTTCGTCAACAAAACCTTTGGATATTTATCAAATGTAAATACTGTAACAAAACGTGTCTGTTATAAAAAATGAATATCTGTATGGAAAAAAAACAATAATCAAACGTAGTGTTGTAATGTTTTACTTTGTACCAATTTTTTGATTTGCGACATCGATGATATATATATAAACTGTTTTATTTTTTATTTTTGTTTGCTTGTTGTTTTTTTTTGTATTGTTTCGTTCAAATTTGCTATTTTTCAAGTTTTTTTTTTTCAGACAATATATGCCGTTTGCACATTTTCATATATACACAAACATAAGACACATAAATACAGATATAATCATAAAGAATCAGTTCCGTGAATTTGTGAGGGTAACAATGTATGAATATGGTGATCACTTGAGCTTGTGAATAATCTACTGTAATAAAAACTAGTTTGCCAAATTCGTAAAATTGTATCTAGAACACTTGGTCTTACTGTAATTGTTTTGATAACATTGCGATCTAATTTTACCAATTCGGCGTTTGCTTGGTCAGTGTTTTTGGCTTTCAATGACCCGCGTTCTCGGCAATTTAATATGTGATTGTGACTGAGTTATTGGTTTAGACAAATTGTGTCATAACCTTTGTCCATACAATTTTCAAGAAATGCATGTATATGTAACGGTTATCGCACGTGATCTAGACTTTGTTGAAGGGGGTCAACCATATTTACTCCTCCCCGCACCCTATACGATACATAATCCTTGTAGAAATATGCTACCCAGTTATAATATAATACGTCGCTTAAAAAGTAAGTACGTGCTCTAAATTTTAGTTATTCTCGAATTAACATAAATATGTAGTGTTTTCATCCCTATTTCTCTATATATATCATGTATGATGGCGAGGATGTTATTGATATTAAATTTGTTCTTTTTCAAAAACTTGATTATTTGAGCAAAAAAAAAAATCACAACCAAATAAAAGAATTGGTTTTATCTTTTTATTAAATACATCACTTGACAAATCAATGCCGAATTGATGGATCTACAATTTTCAAATTTTCAAGTAGAGAGAACTTTGGCTATTTATTTTATGCTTTACTCTCCTACCTGTTTCAAATAAGTATGTTAAAGGTCTATCATGCATGCACAGAAAATTATTTTTATTTATCAAACGTATTCTATTATTTTATTATATTTATGTCACTTTCAAATAAATTTGGAAAAAAATACACGAGCCAAAACTTTGGGCAAAACTATTTAGACAAGTAACAATTTTATTTTATTTGATATTTTAACAAATTGTTAGCAAGACTACACTAGGACTTTCGAAAAGACGAAAATATGATTCCTCGATATGCACTTGTCCTAGGCTTATTTTATCAGAGTTTCTGCACCTTGAAGACTTAAAACAAGTTTAACGGAAAAAAAATAATAGCAAAGTTACAGCCAGTTACAGCCAAAAATGTCAAGAAAATTTATGAGTGAAGGTCAAGGTCTGTCTGCTTTTTTTAAGGGTTATCTTTGAAGATTATTATGTTCAAATTTGAAGACAATCCATTTAAAAATAACAAAGTTACATGCCAATAATAGCCAAAAAATGAAAATTTCAATACTTTGACCTTCAAAGTCAAGGTCATTTATGAGTTAAGGTCATGATCTGTCTGATTATTTTTAAGGGATATCCTTGAAGATTATTATTTTTTAAGTTTGAAGACAATCCATTCAAAAATAAAGTTACAGCCAATAATAGCAAGAACAAGCAAAATTTGGACTTTTGACATTGAAGGTCAAGGTCATATATGGATGAATGTCAAGGTTAGTGTGGTCTACTGAAAGGTCTTGTCCCAAGGGTTGTTGTGGCCACGTATGAAGACAATCTACCAAGAACTAAAAACGTTATGATCCAGGTACAAGTTTGCGGACTGCAACGCCGCCAGGACCATAACAATACCTATACTTTTTTTAACTAACGAGATGTTATTTATTGATAAGCCGATGAGAACTTGTTATTCTAACTTCTCACACAAAGTTAAGTGTTCGTTAGAATTGTTTGTCTTGAAATTTTATTGATTAACAGTTATGTTTTCTTTCATTTCATTCAGCCAAACATAAATAATTTATCATTTAACTCCATAATTAATATCCTACAAGGATAAAATATAAATAAGAAAGACAATGTAGGAGTGGCTACTACAGGTTCACTTTAATTTTATCGAATAAATAAATATACATTCATACACATCGACGACACTTGAAAAAAAAAATCACTTTAAACTAGTGAGGAGTGTCTCTGCACTTAACAATAACAACATATGCAATGATATGCTCATATAAAAGTCCCATGTCGTCGATCCGAACATTCCAAAAATTGTGGTTCCGTGTAATTCCAGTGCACTGTGAGGAATAATATGTCTTAATACACACAAATGTGTTACCTCAAAGTCAGAACCACAAAACTCACTCAAACTTAGCATCCATCCTTGCAACGTTATCAAAAGACAACAAAAAATTGTCTACTCTGAAAAAGACAAAACAAAGATAATTTCCATATTAAATAAACATTAATCAATACCATTGATAAACCTTAGAGTATACATTTTTTTTTTTTTTAACATTATTGTGACATTACAAAGTCCAGCATGACATATACAATCTTAAGTGTAATCTCAAAACGAGGGCGGGGTGGGTGGGCGTCTGTGTGTAGTGAACCTATAGTACCTCGAATGGTCAAATACCCGTGTGCATACACCTTATATATTGACCAGTCTTACGCATCGATACGCTTGGTGGACAGCTGAAATACAGCTGCGCTGTCCACAGTGACCGAAAAAACATATATTATATTAAAGACCAATGATAAATAAATTTATGTTTTTCTTTCATTTCATTCAGCCAAACATAAATAATTTATCATTTAACTCCATAATTAATATCCTACAAGGATAAAATATAAATAAGAAAGACAATGTAGGAGTGGCTACTACAGGTTCACTTTAATTTTATCGACAGAAAAAGAGCGGGATACGTTTCATAAGTCGATGAATAATTGATCTAAATGCCCAGATTTAAAGACACACTTCGTTTAATTGCGTCACTTTCTCTAATGTATAAATTTTTAGATGTCTCAGACTGCCATCTACCATGTTTTTGCAACAATCTTTCACAAACTCCTTGATTACTAGCCGAAGTAGCACCTCCTGATCTAAATGAATGTAAACCAAAATTTCTAGTATTCAAACCGATAGATGCTAAATTCTTTATGAGAATTTCTCTAGCACGCGTATAAGAAATAGGAGAACCCCCTCTCAAAACATATTCACCTTTTTTCTTGCAAAAACTTACTTTCCTAAATAAGTATTCCCCGAATCTATATTAATTTTCCCCATTTCTAAATACTTCTCCAAGGCAGTAAACAGGACAGGTAAACTTATTAGTTCTTGCTATAACTACTGTAGCTCCCTTCCTTAATTGATCTGTTTTAGAAGATCCTAACATTATTTTGACCTGACTATCATCAATTTCTAAATCAGATCGTTTTAATTGTATTACTTCAGCAAACCGTAAGAATCCAGAAAAACTAAGAAGAGACATTGTAATAAATCTCATATCCATTAAGTTTACATTTGAATTAAAATGTAAAACTAATTTAGCTAAATCTTCGGCCAAAAGAGGCTCTTTAGGCTTAGACGGCTTACCACACTCCCTTAAAATGCCACATTTAATATTTTTCACAAAATTCAGAAGAACACGGATCTTCTAACCCGGCCATTTTATGAGCACAAGAGATTGAATACAAAATACTGTTTATTTTTTGACTCTGACGAACCATAGGTGAAAGCTGATGACAAATATAAAGCTACATGTACATCAAGCGCAGGTAAAGAGCTGAAATTGTATTTCTTACACCATGTACAAAAACAACTTAAAATAGCATTTATATTTCTTTAACGTATTTTCCGCTTTAGATTTTAATGTGAACTTTTTAAGCTTTACATATTCTTCATGTAATTGTTGTGGTAATCTTAACTGGTCCAGCTTTCGCCATACTCCAACTTTTAACACGTCTGTGAAATGTATAAAATAAACTTCTATTTAAAGCAACATAACAATAATAACAACCCAGTCCACTTTACGGCAATATCAAACAGCAAATCATTCAGACCGAGACTTCTGCTACATAAATAGATATAAATACAGACATGTACAGAATTTGTGTACATCAACATCATTCTTATCGATCGGATCGATACTTCGTCTGCATAGGATGCTAGACGGACATGTACAGAATTTATGTACATAAACCTCTCGATACTTCGTCCACATAGGATGCTAGACGGACATGTACAGAATTTGTGTACATCAACATCATTCTTATCGATCGGATCGATACTTCGTCTGCATAGGATGCTAGACGGACATGTACAGAATTTATGTACATAAACCTCATTCTTATCGATCGGATCTATACTTCGTCTACATAGGATGCCAGACAGATATGTACAGAATAGTGTACATCAATTCATACTAAACAACTTACACAATACAATTTCGTCTACGTATTAATTAAAACAAAAACAGTCGTGTAAGAAGAATAAAAACCCCGCTGCTATCATTCAAGTACGATGTTGTCTGTCTACGACGCAAGACAGACATGTACAGAATTTATGTACACCAATGTACACCAGTATATATGCATGTATTAAAGGAGGGGGACATGATGATAAGTAAACGAGAAAAAATGTAATGCTGTTAATCTGAAATACTTATTACAAAAATAAAACTTCGTTCAAAATAGATTTATTCAGTTTAACTTGCAAATAGATCAACAACTAACAAAACTTCGTGTTTTCTTATTCTAAGCGAATAGCTAAAACTTTACTATTAAATCTTCTGGAATCAAAAATACAGTTAATGCAATTTTTGTTCATGAAAATATTTTGACCTGCTTTAAACTCTAGAATATCTTTGATAAAATCTTGCTTGACGCCATTGTTTTTAAACAAAATTGGCCAAAATGACGAACTGGGCCATTTAGGAACTATCAGAGTGCCTTTCCCTTTACATGCTAGAAGGTGAAATATAGTTCTAGAAACAAGATATATAGGTGGCACAAGCCAGTTATTGCAGTCTGACCAATACTGTGTAAAAGCATCGATTGCCTCAGACTTATATTCATAAAACAAAGAGTTAAACCGATTTAATTTGCGATTTTTGAAGCTGGCAAACCTATCTACTTCATGAGGACCCCACATTTGATCAATAAAATTGAAAAATTCGGTAGTAACCTCCCACTCATCTGAACTATATATTTTACTTATGTCGTCTGCTATCTGATTATGCTCACGTGGTACCCACTGAATGCTTAAATCTATGTTCCATTTTAAACATAATAGCCAAAAAATGAAAATTTCAATACTTTGACCTTCAAAGCCAAGGTCATTTATGAGTAAAGGTCATGATCTGTCTGATTATTTTTAAGGGATATCCTTGAAGATTATTATTTTTTTAAGTTTGAAGACAATCCATTCAAAAATAAAGTTACAGCCAATAATAGCAAGAACAAGCAAAATTTGGACTTTTGACATTGAAGGTCAAGGTCATATATGGATGAAGGTCAAGGTTAGTGTTGTCTACTGAAAGGTCCTATTCCCAAGGGTTGTTGTGGCCACGTATGAAGACAATCTACCAAGAACTAAAAACTTATGATCCAGGTACAAGTTTGCGGACTGCAACGCCGCCAGGACCATAACAATACCTATACTTTTTTTAACTAACGAGATGTTATTTATTGATAAGCCGATGAGAACTTGTTATTCTAACTTCTCACACAAAGTTAAGTGTTCGTTAGAATTGTTTGTCTTGAAATTTTATTGATTAACAGGTATAAGGTCATTAAATTCATTGACTGGCACGTTTAATTAAACTATTTAATTTTCACGCTGTAACAAAGTATTGGGTGATTGCTTCTCAAGGTCTTCTGTTTCTATTTTAGGCATGTAGCTAGTTTTTGGCACATAACATAAATGGAAACAAAAGACTGTTAATAATCCATAAAGCCGATCACACAATTGCAATCTCAAGGCACTGACTTAAATGACAAGTGCTAAACAAGGACCATCCATCCAACCAAACAGTCAGGGCTGACGCATTTAATACCAAAAACTGAAATTTGTGGATGAGAGGTTGCCTTTAAGGGTGGAGGCATCAGAACATCACCTACCATTTATCCTAGCGTTATCGTTAGAAGCGGCCAAATTGGTTCCAATTACAGATCTCTTAGCACCACCAGGTAAGGTGCTTTTGGCCCCTGATGTTGCTTAAGTTTGTAACATTCGAGGCTAGCCTATTTACCCTTAATTATGTTTGGCATTTGCGAGATATATAAAGCTCATTAAGTACTGCAGGAAGCTGATATTTTTGCTTGAAAGGGTCCTACTTTGGACGATGAGTTGACCAAGCCTGACGGGTGATGAACAACAGAACATCAAATAGCCCTATGAACCAGATTCATAGTCAAATCAATTTCTAGTGCTTATAAACATTCTACACTGTTCTAGATGACCATTGTGGAAAAAACACCAAAGATTTACATAGAAAATGGTGCTGCTATACCGTCATCGAATTCACATGTTTTCAATTACCAATTCTGATGAGACTCGTATATCATTGTTGGATGATTCGACTGTTACTTATAGTCGGCTTACAGAGTCACTGTTTGAGAATAAACAGCTTTATACAAAACCAACACAACTTTAAACTTTTTTATTAGCAGTCATTTGTTCTCTTTCTTTAAAAAGGTTTTTGATTGCAAAAAATGTTGATGAAATTCAAACACTATGCTTTCCTGTCAAAACAACTTTATCCATATGAGCCGCGTCACGACAAAACCAACATAATGGGTTTGCGACCAGCATGGATCCAGACCAGCCTGCGCATCCGCGCAGTCTGATAAGGATCCAGGCTGTTCGCTCACCAACTCTATTACAAGTAGAGAAACTGATAGCGGATTGGACTGACAAGTTGTTCACAACTTGGGCACGCGAACTATTTTATTTGATGTTTCACATAAGTATTTAAACAACGCTAATAACACTAAAACATTATGTACGACAAAAAACTGTACACATTTTTGTACCTTTTCATAAAGCTAATTTGATTTAACATACATACATGCTGTAGTTGTTCAATTCCAGTGGCATCATTTTAATGTTGCTTTTGTCCAAATTGAAAACAAAACACGAGTTTAACAATATTTACAAACTTTATTGACATATTTTTTGTATATTTATAATTTCTTTTTACAAAATGAACACTTAAGCTAGGCAAAATGCGTATTTTTTTTAGTTTTTCTTGAAACAAGATGTAAAGTAAAAATGTAGCAAAATATTAACGGTTCTCACACATAAATCGAAAAACTCACACATAAATCGAAAAACATAGTTACACTTTTTGTCAATTACAACGAATTGAAGATTTTGCATTTACTTTAGCTCCTGAAAGTTCGGGTAAAATCGTCTATTTCCGTATTTTACAAATGTGAGCGGTAAATATTCGGTACATGAAGCAAGTTAAATGTACACGTTCTGGAATCAGTACAGTGAATTCCCTTTATGTCCAAGAAATGCTTTTATGCTTGAATCATTTCATTTTCGATGTCGTTATAGTTTTGTATGGAAGTTATCTTTGTTAACATTTCTACTACTTTTATTTTTAGTTCTCTCTCTTTTTCGGAATAGTCAAGCCAAACTTTGAGCAAGACCACCTGTATTTTAAATCCAGGGGTCTAGCTGACCACGTGTCAAAAAAGATGTGTTGTGGCCTGTAGATATGCATATCAATAGATTTATAACATGTTAACATGTGGCCTTTCACCTAATTTTGGTGAAAATAATTGATGTTTTTAAGCTTTTTATTTTGGCGATACGGGGGACTACCGCCCCCTTCGCCCCCCAACAGAGGCCAACCCCCTGATGTATCATTTTGATGGGGCGGCACCGAAAAAGTGGTCACTTTTTTAAACAACATTTGTGAGCAAAAAGCCGACAAAACACGTCTCTATGAGGGAAAAGGTTAAAAGCGAGCAAGCAGAACATATTATATATTAATTTGTGATATGTTAATTTAAAACTCTGAATTATCAACAAAAGCAATAACACATAAGCGCACGTGCATATCCACGCATGCGTATTCGCTACAAAATACTTACATATATATTTATATAAATTTATTAGGAGAAAACGTCTGAATAGTATACGAAGCTACTAATGTTATAAGTGTAAACTTTAAATTTTAACTATAATTTGAGCTTTGGCATATAAATGTACTATGTATATAGCAAATAAAAAGAAAAGAGATCGTCTTTTATTCAAATTATATACATTACGTCATTCGTCTGGTTTGATTGTTGAATAAAAACGATAATGTATAATTAATATATTATTTAGTTATGTTGGACCTACGACAAAAAAACAATAAATCGTGTATTTTATACAGTTGAAATAGTGGTGTTAAACCTACGAAAGAGAAATATTTGTGCATTTGCTATAATTTATTTAGTGGCGTAAGACCTATGACTACGCCAGTCAAGTGTATGTATCATACAGTGCAACTATTCTATAACCAAGTATTGGTGGTGTTAGACCTATGAGAAAAGTCTTTCACACGATGTGATGCTAATAAAGGCAGTGGACATATTCGAACTTTGGCCTCGAGGATTTTTTAATTGTACAGACACAGTGTTTTAAAAGGTCTTGATATTTTTCAATATTTCTGTCTTTGTCAATGTGATCCGTTCTTATTTGAATGTAACATAGCTAGGTGTTTACACGAAATCAAACATTTTGATAGCTTTGTATGTATTTATAACTCTCAACCGGAAGCCCAAAAAAGACAGGGCGTTACAAAATCTAAATGGATTACTGACATTTTATTTGGCATTTTATCGCTTTTATCAGTTATATCTTTTATTCTTTTTTGTATCAACAATATATTTATGCAGTTCAAATGGCAAATTCAACGTGCTTTTTACCAACATTGATCCACCCCGGTAACAGCATTCGTTTATTTCTGTATGTAAATATATTCTACCCGTTTGTTATCAACCTATTGGCTATGGAAGACCAAACACGTGACCATACGGAAATTACCGAATGCTATTACGGGGTCCGCGACCATTCGTAAATATATGTCACGTGTTTATTCTTTATGACGTCACTCAAAATTTCTCGGTGGTATAGCCCTCGTTGTCAAATTGTGTTAATCCATTGCCAAATTTGCCGTTAGTTTCCTCTAGCCCTGGAAGACAAAAATTGCACGTAAGTGAATGGTTACACAGAATAACTTGCAAATAACTGTCTTTAATAGTCTTACATATATTTGCGTTTAAATAGCTGATATTTAAAATATGAAAAAAAGTTCTGCTGGCGTAGGAATACTTGCTGAAATTTCACGAGCTTGTATAATAATTTACAATGCAACAACGCCCCCCTGTTGTCTATAAAACAAGAGATTTTAAACCATTCCAATATCAGATCACAACTAACATATAAATCTCTCTTCAGGATTGTTATTTTAAGCAAAATTTATTGTTTTTAAGTAAATAACCTTTGACATAGTTGTTGACATATTTACAAAACGTAAACTTCAATCTCTTTTTTTTTTGTACTATTTTTTTGGAACAAAGAATAAACAATACATATGCGTAGGAGTACAGAAGATGAAATTTCAAACACTTCCTTTTTCTTAGAACGAAACAATTGAACAATTTCTACAAAGGCAATACACTTACTAAAATAAATGAAATAAAACCAAAATTGTCAGAACAGGACAAATCAACCACGGTAATACTGCATTGCAGAGCTAAAGACATGTATACATAGAAGGTACTCGGATGAGTTCTGTTTTGCACGGTTGGACTGGAAGCAGTTTTTTGTCGAGATTTATGTAGTGTTTATGAACAGGTCTAGGCAGTCCAAATCCAAATCCAAATGATCCCTTGGTTGTTTTTTTTTTTTTTTTTTTTTTTTTTTGTATAACAATTATATTCTGTGAGAAAATTACCAAAAAAACGTGCAGGCTCAAAAAAGCGCAAATACAATCATCAATTCTGAGTATATTTCTTTCTTATTTGTTACATGTCTTTCTGTTTTAATTGTCCCAGTTGATCTATGAAAAAGATTCAAATTTTAAGGGTTTTTTTAGGGGGTGGGGTCATACCACAGTGGAGTTCCTTCAAAAATTTGGAACTTATATAAGGACTTACCTTTTGATGAGTCATAGCCCAAGTCACTATTCGAATCATTCATTTTGAATTTATCTGAAACTAAATTCATTAATATCTTTATTTTAAATAAATGTCCAAATAAATGTATTGAATCTATTCGAGTCAGTTTGGCTTGGTGCTAAACAGCTGCGTTAAGATAAACTATACATGTTTATTATAGAGTTTTGAATTAAAAACATTTATTCTTACGTTGATCATATAAAAAAATAAACAAAACTAGCAAAATACTGCTCTGGTTATACTGAGGGCTTTATTTTTTTAACCAACAAGCGTCTACATAATTTTGAAAAGAACTCAGATTTTAGATTGGTAAATATACTTTTCGTCTAGCAAGTGATGCTAGAAAAATTCTGTTAAGATGTATATAACAGCTTATTGTACATATCTGGCCAGTTTTATATTGATGTGCATACCAGTTTGTATATAACCAAGTGAAAAAGGTGCCGTAAAGGTTCATAAGCCTGCAAGTCTACCTATGAATTTGGGCTCAAACCAACCCTACTAGGGTAACGATAAGGGTTTCCTCTTATGACACCAGTACTTGTTTGTTCAATAAAATTGACCCGAGAGTGGTCCTAAAAGGCTTCAAGCTTTGTTCACAATCGAACTTAAACAAATACACAAATATTTGAAACCCCAAAACACGATATATTATTACTGTAAATAATCTGTGATAAAAGATAAACTTTAATCAAGGCCCTACATGGGTTTCGTTTCCACTTACCGAATCCTGATGGCGTCATCTCTAGATCACCATAGACTCCAGCTCTGTTCTCCTTCAACGCTGGTCCCCATGTCGGTTTCGGCGAGTTTACATCACAGAGTACTCGCCAGGCTCCATTGCGGAAGAAATATGCCAGGAACCAGAATGGAATGCATAAAACGGGCGTAAGAACGATCAGCCACCAGATGACGTCTGCCCATTGCGGAAAAACTCCAGGATCTTCTTCGTGTTTAGTTTTGTACTGTATACATTTGAATACGATCACGGCCTATAAAAATAATTATAATTAAAAACTTGCAACGTGATATTAAATGGCTGCAATGTATTTTTATGTACGCTGAAAAAATATGTGTATTTATAAACAAATGATAAGTTACTACGTCATCGCGCACCTGCAAAATGCTCCCAATCGTACGAGACGAAACAAAATAATTGGATCGATATTGCAGATGATAAACTTACCAAAAGACAAAGTGGCGTGAAGACCATCCACATTGGGCCAAAGTAGACGAATGAAAACTTTGAAATAGATCTCAGTAAGGGCGTGTCACCAAGCATCATCAGTATGTCTTTTCTGAACCTAACAAATCCTGGAAAAAGATATGAGCCGCGTCACGACAAAACCAGCATAGTGCGTTTGCGACCAGCATGGATCCAGACCAGCATCCGCAGTCTGATCAGTATCAATGCTGTTCGCTTACAAGCCCTATAAAAGGTAGAAAAACTGATAGCGAACAGCATGGATCATGATCAGATTGCGCGGATGCGCAGACTGGTCTGGATCCTTGCTGGTCGCAGACCCATTTTGTTATTTTGTCATGACGCGGCTCATATACGACTAATCATAATTAACAGAAATAATTAACACACATACGGATGGTAAAATACAGAAAACTTATAACTACATTTGTTTACAGTCGCATTATGTGGTTAAATACATATCTCTACGGTTGCCTCCCTTTAGTTCGTAAATCTCGTAATATTATTTTCTGTATTTTTCTTAGAGTATAATTACGGCTATCATAGTAAAAGTGATATGCTCTTAAAGTAAGGATAATTATATCATTTGTGTCTTAGAAGGTCCGAGTTCAAAACTTATCATCCCCGTTAAGAAATAAACTGAATTTCCATATAATTTTCATATTAACAATTCCTTTGACTTATCTATACTATAAATCAAAGGAACTGTTAATATGACTTACCTATACTATATGGGGGGCGTCCGTGGCCGAGTGGTTAAGGTCGTTGACTTCAAACCACTTGCCCCTCACCGCTGTGGGTTCGAATCCCGACAGGGACTTTGGATTCTTTCATGTGAAGAAGCTATCCAGCTAGCTTACGGAACGTCGGTGGTTCTACTCAGGTGCCAATTTTCGTGCCTGAAATAATGCACGGAAGGGCACATTAGGTCTTCCTCCACCAGTAAAGCTGGAACGTCGCAATATGACCTATATTGTGTCGATGTGACGTAAAACCCAAAACAAACAAACCTATACTATAAATTATAGGCGATTGCGATGACTTGCCATGTAAATAGACAATTGCGATGACTAACCGTTTATTGTGGCATTTGCAATGACTTACCGTATAGATAGGCAAGTGTGATGATTTACCGTATAGATATACAATTGCGATGATTTACTGCAATCGTTGCAATTGCATATGGTGACTTACGGTGACTTACCGTATAAATAGGCAGTGATTTTTGACTGTATAAATAGACAATTGTGGTAACTTACCGGATATAAAGGCTATTGCAATTACTTACCGTATATATAGGCAATTGCGATGACTTCAAAGAATCCAACAAACAGTAAAGGAAATCCGCCAGTTGCGTTGTCAACAAGATCAAGCAAATGGAATCCGCACTTAAATGTAAACATTAATTTCACCCATAAAAAGAATCATACAACAATAAAAAAATAGTGTTAAATTAATAAATGTTCGATATGCAGAAGAAACTTTAACTTGCGATAGCAGACACATCAATCTTCGCAATTGCCGAGACGTCATTGCTATTAAAAGTTATAAGGGCCTTCTAAACTTTGTTTTTGTCGAGAACAAATACAGGACCATTGTTTGGTTCAGAGCATAATTATTAATTTACGTTTGCACACAATCTAATTGCTTGACAGTTGAAATCACATCGAAGAAGATAGAATGTTAGTAAGGACTTGATAAAATCATTGTTTATTAGGGAATAATGCAAGTGCAATTTATTCGTTGATGATTTGGGGAAAATAGTTAAGAATTAAACTTGTAAGTTAAAAATTTTACAGTATCGGATATTTTAAATGAGGACAACAACTATGATAATATCTAAATTTAGTGTTCGCCAATTTTTTTAAGCCAATCACCGACGAGGATTTTTCCAATTCTCAGGTTTCAAATCTTAATAGAACAGATTTTATATAAACTGGACGTTTTATATTGTAAAACGCAAGTGGGCGGAGCACTAAGCCGGTTAGAGTGCATATTGGATGTTCTTCGTAAATAAGAAAGCTACAGTCGCTTTGCAAGCTCCGCTCCTTTTTAGCTTTCTTATTTACGAAGAACACTTAATATGCACTCTAACATATACTTGTTTTTATTTAACACAAGAATTCACCCTATGATACATTCTAATATAAAGGGAGACTATTAAACACATGCTAATTGTGAGTGAGTATTGTCTCCAAATTCTCAATGAGTTATCCCCCTTTTTTACTTGATGTCATATAACTTACCCCAGTACACATCGGCAGGCCTAACACGAATCCAACGATACAGTAAGAAGCTCTGAACAAGATGGCTTTATACTTTGACCTTCGTATGGATGGAAAATCATCGAGTACTCCAGTAAGAACTGTCTCAACGATAGAAAACTGTAAAACAAGAAATCAGATTTCCTAATTCTTTTATTTCAGTAACTTTATCCCTTAACGATTTAATTTCTACCGATTTTGACCAAGGTCATTCAGTGCATATATTCGAATATTTCGATAAGTTAATTTCATTGTAACTTTACCGAGTCTTACAGTCTTTACCGTTTCGTAAGATATTTACCGTTTCTTTAAAACTTTACCGTTTAGTTAAATATTTACAGTTTCGTTAAATCTTAATCGTTTCGTGAAAAAGGATTATATTTAAAAAATGTATCTATCTACATCGTTCTGTATTTGCAAAGCTAAAACTGTGACATTGTCGACCCGGTTATTACACTTCAAATACTCGATATTGAAACGCTTCTGATAAATACTATTTACTTGGAGAAAATTTATACACTTTACCTTTTCATCATAAATTTCACCCAAGATTTTAATGAAATTTACGTTCTTCATTTTGTACAACGGTTCGTTGCTACAAGATGGTCAATTGTAACATCAAATGAGCCGCGTCACGACAAAACCACATAGTGCGTTAGAGACCAGCATGGATCCAGACCAGCCTGCCTATCCGGGCAGTCTGATCAGGATCCATGCTGTTCGCTTACAAACCCTATTACAAGTAGAGAAACTGATAGCGAACAGCATGGATCCTGATCAAGCGCCTTTGAACATTTTATTTTTTGAGAAGGGCGCTATAGAAATGTGGTAATTATTATTATTATTATCAGACTGCGCGGATGCGCAGGTTGGTCTGGATCCATGCTGGTCGCAAACCCATTATGTTGGTTTTGTCGTGACACGGCTCAAATTAGTAAAAAGTATGCAAACGTTTTAGTAACATAAACTGGTCTTTTGTACAATAGAAATTGCAATACAACTGCATTTTTATCATCTAAATGTTATAATACAATAAATGTTAACACCAAGAATCAATTGTCCGGAAATGAAATATTTGGAGATGTTTTGACAATACCGATATTTCAAGTGATAAGTAAATACTATTAGTCATAGACGGAAACACTATAACAGTAATAATCGAGTCAGTGAGGAAAATTAGTTTGTATTGTATCGACTTCGTGGTGATAAAAATTACCTAATCTCATTAAAAAAAATTACACACACACAGATCACGTGATTAACCTCTCAGGTCACGTGACTTACCTCAGAACTGAATCCCAGCATCATCATCATAAGAAAGAAAAGAACGGCCCAAACCGGGGACGCTGGCATTTGCGCAAGAGCTTCTGGGTACGCAACAAACGCTAATCCAGGTCCTTAAATCATAAAATACAATATAAAATACAATCACTTTATGTTGAAATGTAAACATATAATATTTCAAGTTTTAAGTTGACACGAGGATTTATGGAAACGCAATATTTCAGTAATAGCACGTGAAGATGACATTTATAACACTGAATTACAACGATTACTTTTGGAAAAGATAACATTTAAACAATTTAAGGCAAAAACTTTCATCCACATTCACTAATAAAGCCGTGACTTTGGTAAATGTACGGGTAAAGGCACTAGTATTTGAAAGTGTTTCATTTATCTGTCTTTGTGAAACCTTCCAGAAGTATTTTCAGATTTCGTGAGACTTTGCAATTATAGTATTATCCGACTTCGTGAGACCTGTCAATGGTATTATCAGATTTCGTGCGACCTTACAATATTTTTGACATATTTTCGTGAGACCTTACACTAAACTTTTCAATGTTTTGAGAAAATACAATAGTATTGTCAGATGTCATGAAACTGTCCAAAAGTATTATCAGATTTCGTGAGACTTTTCAACAGTACTGTCATATTTCGTGAGACTTTGAAAAAGTACTGTCAGATTTTATGAGACCTTAGAATAGTACTGTCTTATTTTGTGACATTTCACAATAGTATTGTCAGATTTCGTGAGACCTTAAAATAGTATTTTTAAATTTCGTGAGATTTTACTGTACTATTTCGTGAGACTTTAGAATATTAATTCAAATTTCGTGAGACTATTGCATACCTCCGGCAGCGACGTCCTTCACTGACACGCCTTTTTGATTCGCCATGAATCCGAGTGAAGCGAAAATAACAAATCCGGCATAGAAACTTGTTAGACAGTTGATAACTGGTACAAGGAACGTATCTCTAGAAAAAATCAAAAATGAAAATTATTTAAAAAACAAAATCATTTATGTCTCGTGACTTCAAGTGGCTGATTTTTGTTGTTGTTTTTTATTATTATTTTATAGAAAATACATGGTTGATGTGAGCAAAAAAAAATACAAAATTCTATCCTAATGTTCAACATAACATCTTACGTCTTTGGCATATTTCGTAACTTTCCGTATGTAAATAACTCACAACATGACTACGATCAAGCCTTGTTAACTAAACACTAATCAAATAATACTAAAACACGGAAAGAACTGAAAAACGAAATATTAAAGGCCCATCATGCTTTTTTTATTTCCCTTAAGTTTTAGCTGTATAGTTTCGAAAAAGTTACTTATGGGTCAATTATCTGAACTATGTTTTGCTCTGCTGCACTTTGGTAATTTGTATAGTTGTAGTGTATTTTGTATGGAAGTCGAAATTCTACTTTTTTTACATTTTCTACTTTTATGACAAATCATTTCACATTCAGAAGAATTTTCTGCAGGTGATAAGTATCTAACATGTCCTAAATTCATTATTTCAACGTGACAAAACTAATATATGTCCTTTGCAAATAAATGAAAACATATTTCTGGGGGATAATGTGCCTTTAATAGAAAGAGAATAATGTTACCTGAGGACATTATTCCGGAAGTTGTTGTAACTGGCCATAGCAATAAGTCCTCCGGAGCATGCGCTTAGCGAATAAAATATCTGTACAGCCGCGTCCGACCATACCTGGTGTAAAACATAATTGTTATATGTATATTGGTTGTAATAAAGATTTTGACAGATATAATAAAACAGCAAAATTCCATTTTTTTTTTAGAAAAAAGAGAGATTTCTTAGAAAATTGACAGTAGTCCTGTAGATAAAACTATATAAACGTCATGAAGGGACGTCACAAACATGCAGTATTATAATGTTGCTCATTCATCATTAAACAACAACACGGTATATCATACACGAGTGATTATATTATGTAATATGAGATGGAAAGGAATTCATTGTTGGTTTGAGTGTAATGCTTGCTTTCAAATCTATACATATTGTGATGTAAAAAGATACCTGCTTGTAAATTTGCTTATTTAAAAATGAAATAAGTTTAAACTAAGAACACGAGATTTTGTGCCTATGTGTAGCAGTTTCTTGGGCGGGTTTTGTGATTTATTTCACAGTAATATAGTAAATATGTAATGGCGACTTTCCAACATAATCTTTGGTTGAAATAGAAGTAAAAACCCTTATCCCTAAAAACAAGACAAATAGGATGAAAATATATTTTATCTTGATTTTCAGAAAATTGGACATAAATTAATCATTAAGCAGATGACATATTTTGGCAGACGACAATTTTGATTCTCCCGGCATGCAAAGGGTTAACACGTTATCAGTTGAAAGTATGAAGTCTTCAAACAGCGTTATTTCGTCGCCTCATGCTTTTTTTTAATATTAACTTTATAAATAAGATCACAACGTATTATTTTCGAATATTTTCCAAAAAGGATACATTCGTAATATTTCAATAGAAAATGTAATCTGTAATCTTGTGGTTAAGGACGAAAGTATGATGTGATATTTATACAATATATCATTAGGCCTATATATATAATGTCTTCGTGTATTCGACTTTGCATGAACAACTTATTAAAACTCATTTAGAAAACGAAATACTCAGCTTAAAACAATATTCAGGGAACACTCGAATTTATATCGTTATATCCGGATATCTTCACAGCCGAAATTCAAGCAATTTGAAAACTAGAGTCAGAATCACGTCAGCAGCTTCGTTATAAGCAGTATATCGTAATATGCGATATTGTTATAAGTGGAGTTCATAGTAATACAATAAATGACCCATAAATTGATCGAAATGCAGAATAACATACCTTTGCTTCACCAAGCTTCGTAATATTTGGTGTCAGGTAAAAATCAATTCCATCTTTACTTCCATCCAAGGTGAGGCCACGAATCAAAAGTGCAGTTAACAAGATATAAGGAAATATGGCGGTGACGTATACAACCTATAAATAGCAAGTAAACAGAAAATGTACGAAAATATACAAACAAACGAACAAAAAAAAGCACTCGGATATTCCGGACAGGTGACCAATACGGCATCTATTTATTGTCGTATTGTTTGATTTAGTTAAACGTCACACCGACACAGTATATGTCATATGACGACTTTCCAACCTAACCGGTGCAGCAAGACCTCAGATACACTTCCGTGTATTATTTCAGACCATCACGGGCACCTGAGTAGAGACATCGACATTCCTAGCTATTTAGTACATTATGCTATAAAAAGTACGATTTGCAATTTTGCACCATACTCTTTTCTTACAATATTTAATTTAAATTCGGCTACGTTTCATAAGTAAATGATATATTCATGCATTATAGAAATCATTGCCTTTATGGTTCCCTTCCGTTTATTAAACCCGAATTTGGGTTCTTTTGCGCATGCGTAAATTATAAAATTTCATGACAAGCTCCGGATGCCTTCCATATTTAGACCGTATTTTATCTGTGTATCAAAAATGTTAGTACGTACATGTATTTTGTATTCTTTCATGTGAATGCCTATTTCATTGAAGTAAATCGTATTAAAACTACTTACCTTCCCCAAAGATTTAATGCCCTTTGTTAGCACAAGGAATACTATCGTCCATGCCAGAAGAAGGCAGAGTGTGAGCTCCCAACTAATTCCTCCCGTAACGTCAAGGCCTGAAGTCTGACGTAGCACTCGGTTTCTGTAATTCGATATCATTAGATTGTAAGTATATTTTATTATGAATATCTGTGTAATGATAAAATGGTGCGTATTCATACTGGAAACGGTATTGTAACAGTTATCCACAACAGACAATAAAGCCAAAATCATTTTTTTAAAAAAGAACAATCATCGCTTCATAATTTTCAAACTTTAGAAAAGGTTTTTACTAAATTTATTTTAAATAAAGATGTCGAAATTTTTTAAAAATGAAATTTACATAAAACTGCGATTAAGGACTGATTTTTTCAATATTTTTTCAATAGTTATTTTTTTGCTTGACTAAGCATTAAGCCTAAAACTCCAATTTTGTCCTCCTTTTATAAAATTAAAATTACATATACCTTTGCAATGGGGCAAATTACTTTCTTTGTTCACTGCATAATATTTTACTTCTAAATACATTTTCAAAAAATTTCATGAAAATTAGCATGAATCTTTAGAATGCATTAGACAATAACATACTTTCTTGAATGTTAACCAAACATTTGAAACTCATACTTACGAGAAATACTCTTCACTTGGATTCGTAACTTTGCTCTCATTAAAAGTGTAATTCACTGAAATCAGAGGCACATTACTAAATCATTACTGCATTATCTTTTATCAGATCAAAGTACTGGAAGCACTGATGGAAGGCGACTTTTTGCATCTTGAACGATTATTCATCAATACTGTTTAGTTCCTATTTTAAAGAACTACTAGTATTTGTTTATGACGAAATATGTTCGGGTAAAGTCGTTCGTGCAAAGCTTCACGAGTCTACATTCTAGTGGTCCCAACTTAAAAGTTACTATTCACGCTTTTCTTCTGTACTGATAAAGGGAAGTAACCACTTCTTACGCCAATTTTGGTGCACAAGATAAATTATCCTAGCGGATAAACATTATTTTATCTTTAGAATCACGTGATCTGAACATGTTTATTTTACGACACATGTTTGAATACAGGACCAAGAGAAAGAAAAACAAAATTATTTAAGAATATAAAACTGAATGTTTTTGCCATAACTGGTATATGTCAACGCTGAACGAATTTTTCTTCCGAGCGCTATATTTATTATAAATATGCAGATTTCCTCAACATTTACAAATAAGCAAGTACATTCAGTAGCATATGTAATGATAATCATGTGAAGGTAAAATTGAGTAGGTGTGCTATCTAAAATAAATATTAGCGACTCAAATACCTACTTCCTCATACGTAAGTATTATACATATTTACATTTCAGGTCACATGACAACACATTCTGATGTATAACTTACAACAATCTTGTCTGGTTGAATTCCAAGGGTCAGGGTCACTTTTGTTCATCGTATTGTCACGACACAAGCATGACGCCCAATCCGGGTCACATGACGTCCACAGAAGCGTACTGCGCATGCTCGCGAAAAAGTAATATATGCAGACGGCAATGATGACGTTATAGTATAAGCTGATGAGTGCCGACACTATTATCATAGAATATCCCAAACCTGTAAAACAAATCATACATGTTTCATAAACGAATTATGCACTTTCCGTTAAAAGAAAATAATAATACAGTTTAAGTGAAAATGTTCAGTACTGGATACACAACCTTTTACGTTCTGTTTTAGATGTGGACAGAAGTTTGTTAAATACTTGTTAGTAATATTCTGGAGGAGAGATATTTATAATTTTTTTCACTTTTTTTAAATTGTAACCTCTGCAAAGCGGTCGTCTATAAAGCCACCACCTCTTTACAACATCAGTATCATTTTCTCACTTCAAACTATATTTAACCTGCACTGTAGAGCAACACCTCTCAGATGCAACCGCAAACTTCATCTACCAAGGGGTGTTGCTCCTACCGAGGATGTTCATTGAAATTCATAAAAATGCTCTTTTTATCATCGCTGTATGCTTTCCAGAGACAAACATAAATGTATATCAATGAGATATCAGTTCTCATATCTCAATGGCTCAAACTTAGTGAAATATAAAGTTTAATTCCTCGTTCTGAACATTTAACAGCATCGCAAAATTTAACGCACACCTTAAACGTAAAATTTCAAATACGCAAGTAAGCGTCATTTTGGCTTCATATTTCGTCCAACTTACGTCATCTTCAGAAGGATGTGGTCCATATTTATTGTAACAAACAAATATTTTCTATAAAGATTTTTTATGATAAACCTAGATTCTAAGTCACATGACGTCCACAGCGGCGTACTGCGCATGCCCGCGATAAAAGGATAATGGTGTATGTACCTTTCATTGCAGGGTTAATAATCCAGATCTTAACTGGCCCTAAGCTGGCAAACTGGCCGAAACTCAGCTCAAGGTAAAACAGAGGTATACCCATCACAACCAAGCAGATAAAATATGGTATAAGAAACGCCCCTGAAATAAAAAAGAATTACATGCAAAGAATATAAAAAAGCACATGATTTCAGTTATTTCAAAAACAGTGCTATAGGTCCTACTTCATTGTATGTTCTTTTAGTAAGTAAACGAAAATAAATTTCGTGATTTGTGAAAATGTTGAAATTACGCGCGATTTCGATCATAATATTCACACTTGTGAGAATTGTCTACGAATATGATGCAACCTATATATAAACCTTTTTTTTTTCTTATTAAATAAAGATGCACACATTATTTAATCATGATTTCAAAATGTACTTACCGCCGCCATTTTCGAAACACAGATACGGAAATCGCCAAACATTTCCGAGTCCAACAGCAAAGCCAACCAGAGTTAAGATAAACTCCACGTGACTGCCCCAGTTAGCTCGTTGCTTCTGTAAAGGATAAGAGAAACTATTTAATATTGTAGCTGATTTGCTTTTCATCTGCCGTGTCTTTTCTTGTTCGAGGTGTTATGCAAAAAACACTGAGTCACGATAAGGGTAAAATTTGGTCTCTCGTTCGTGTTTTGATTTAGCCTTTTCATATTGTTGCAATGTCACATATTCGTTTTCCTGTAGTACGGGCGCATGCGCGTTGCAGTTGCACATATGCCTAAGTAACAATGGATGAATTGATGATCACTAAAGTATCCCTTTTCAGGATTGTTATTTCCTCGACATATGGACGCTTATGTCAGTTAAAGGAACATTATGCCTAAGAAATCCATATTTTTAATAGTTTGAAAAGGTCAAATATCTGTATAAATGTATAGTAATATTTTAACTATTGATTTATAACAATCCTATCAAATGTTAATCAACTAAAGACGGAACGGGCAATTGTGTGCTGTAAATGTAGCTTAAATGTAAACAAAGTAGTATTTTCGTTTCCATACACAATATTAAATCAATATAATTATACAGATTGCCAACACAGCAGAAGTAGCAAAAGATAATAAATCCAAATGGCAAATGGGTACTTTTTGGTCCTTGTAACAAGATTTCAAAAAAAAAAAGTTTATGGAAAACAAAATTGATAGCATTTCTATAACAAAATGGAAATTGAAGTTGCTCGTTGACAATTGGCTAATTTATTTCAATATACAGGCTAGCAAGATTTGTCTTTTGAGTTATAAATCATTATTTTCAACTGTTCATTCTGTGGAACTTTAGTTTAAATTATTGAATAAGAGATAATATTAAATCTAAAAAAACTCTTGTCAACTTTTTCAGACTTCATTTGAAGAGCTGACGAATGGTGACATTTGCCGGAAGTAGTTATTACGAACTACTTTTTGTGCGATTCGTCACATTTCAAGCGCACGATAAAAAAAGATGCAATTGACCTTAATTGGGGTGTATGAACACGTATAGATACCGATAAAAAGTAAGTTATCACATGTTTGTTTACATTTCGTTGAGGAAGACCGACATGAAAAGAAATATATGTGTGTCACAATCTGAGATAACTGCCTAACGACCAAAGTATATATTTACTAACAGTACAGCGTAAATCATTTTAGATAAAGGACTTCAGCTGTTATATTAAGTACAACGGGTACTTGAACAGAAAGAAGTAATTTTGTTAATCCTGCTGAAGAATTGCTGAGTAAAATTCTACTGCTTAGCTACAAGCAGTTTGTTTATTAGTACCAGGTGTCCTACTGCATAGGTGACAAATAAAGTACTTTGTTTATCCTACAAGCTAAATGCTAAATTGATCCTAGTACGCAACTACTTGTTGATGCTTCTTCATACCGACTTTGTTAATCCTTCTTCATAACTGCTTAGTTTGCCTTCTACATATAAATAGTTTGTCCCTCTACATAACTGATTAGTTGGTCCTTCTACATATCTAATTTGTTTATCGAACTGCATAATATCTTTGCTGATCCTTTTACTAAACTTTTTTGTTGATTCTACTACATAACTTCTTTGTTGATCCTACTTCATAATTCCTTTGTTGATGCTTCTACATAACTCCGTTGTTGATTCTACTACATAACTTCTTTGTCGATCCTACTACATAACTTCTATTTTGTTGCTACTACTTAACTTCTTTGTTGATGCATCTACATAATTCCTTTGTTGATGCTACTACATAACTTCTATTTTGTTGCTACTACATAACTTCTTTGTTGACTCTACTACATAACAGCTTAGTTGGTACTTCTACATAACTAATTTGTTGATCATACCACATAACTTCTTTGTTGATCCAATTTCACAACTTCTAGGTTGATACTACTACATAACCTATTTGTTAATCTTGATACACAACTCCATTATTGATCCTTCTACATGTATAACTAATTTGTTGATCCTACTACATAACTCCGACTGTTGAAGATCCCAATTTAAATTTTATATGCCTCTAATAGCTTTCGGTTCGAGTCCCACTAGGGATTGTAAAATCTGTCATGTGCGCTCAATTCGTTGGTTCTTCATGAAGGAGTATTTTTTGAAAGCGGAGAACCTCTTTTATTATCGTAGCAGTATCGGGTAAAGAAGATCTACATGTCAAACATATTACATATAAAATTTTGTCAGATGTTCTTCCTATTAAAATGTATTTGTTTTTATTAATGATGAAGTTAAAACACATATTTAGGACTATATGAAACGATTACATTAATTGTCTGAAGTATTTAGACGATTGTCAATAATAATCCTTGAATACCATTAAAATGTTATTGAGTGGTGCGCAAATTAAACATGCGCGTCTGAACACGTGATTTCATGGTGCAAAGTTGCGTCATGCGCGGTGTATGCGCGACAAACTAAAAAAAACTTTCAATAGTTTGCCCAAATCCAAATTTTGATACGCAAATATAGACGGTATTACGGAAGACTTTGCGATGAACCTACAGTCATGTAAAGGAAGTTGACGGACGCCAACAAAACTGTGTATTTGAATACACACCGTATTACCGGCGGCAGTGATAGCAGATCACTGCAGTGATGGCAGATATCTGAAAATTACTGATCGGTACAGGTAGGTTATAAATTTGGTTGGTTTAATTATATTACACAAATACGGCCCATATCATTGCTATAAAACTATTGTCCATTGAATGGAGATACTGTAAGGTAATTTTGGACTCGTTTTTTCCTGTTTTAAGACTATTTTGAGCAGGTTAAAAGTGACAGCCTCGGAAAAATCCGTGAAATTGTCTTTTTTCTGTTCAAAATATCTCAAGTTTTAAGTAAATGGCAGGATTTCTTGTTATCAATATAGACGTTTAGCCATTGGGGTCACGCAAGCCAAATATCTACCCCGTGAGTCTTTTCTTGAAAGTTTTACAGACGCTCAATCTTGTCCGGTCGAAGAAAAAATGCTGCCGTTGTAGGCAGATACATATTATAAATGCTGCCGTCGATGGCAGAAATACCATGAAAGTGGCTTACATTCTGACAGAAAATCAAGTTCAATCTTTTATCAATTCCTCTTTTCTTTGCGTCCTTTTAGTCGGAATTGAGACGTTAAACTATCATTTCTAATATTTTCTCAAGATAGAAAAGTTATTAATGCGGTGTGCATCGAAAAAAGCTTTTTAGCAACATGCAGTTACAATACAAAAAGTGATGATTTAGTACGACAAAATTTTACTATAAATAGAGAAATGAACATGAAAAACTTCATTTTTCTATATTCATGCATGTGTGCTTGAACTGTTCATATGAATTGAAAGGTAAAAAAAGAGAAAAAGAATATAACAAATAAAAAAAATCTAGTTTATTTCCTATAAATACAGGATTTATTTTTATCAAGTGATATGAATCATCGAAAGGTCCATCTTAATAAGTTGTCATGGCTACAACTAAAATGAATAAAAAAACATATAGTTAGATGGGAGCACGTGATGTTAGAACTGTTGTTAATAGTTTAGCATAGTAAATGTAATTCAAAGGCAAACTACAATTAACGCTATTACAGACATGAAAATTTAAAGAAATGAATCCACATTGTCGTGTTTTTCAACTTGATAATATAGGAAAATATTTGAACTGTCAATAATATCTTTCCATTTTACATTAACATACATTGTTTTATGATACACTGATGCCAGTTGCGAGGTTAATAGTCTCCCCTTTATTACATCAATTTTATAATTTATAATCTGCGCCGATTAAGTAAATTTCAGCCTTTATTTGTCATAAAGCGATGAACATTATTACCTCGAGAAAATAATGTCATATGCTAGCAAATGAATATCCACTTAAAGAAATTACTTGCTGTAATATGCAATTGGCGTTATGTCTTAAAAAGGGAGTGCGCTGCTAAACTTAAGATACATATAGTATTGTATACATATAGTATTGTATGCATGTAACTGACAGACACACATGCATGAATATAGAAAAATGAAGTTTTTCATGTTCATTTCTCTATTTATAGTGAAATTTTGTGATACTAAATCATAACTTTTTGTATTGTAACTGCATGTTGCTAATAAGCTTTGTTTCGATGCACATACCGCATTAATGAAAAAAATCAAAATCTACAAAACAGCAATTTTTCTTCAAAATTATATGTGAGGCCTTGTTTTAACATGGAAAAATGCGTTTTAGGGTAATTTCGTTTTTTTTCATCAGTTTCTATTAACCCATTACCAGATATATACGCCTTTCTACGCCTTTTTCACCCCCCCTCATTTTTTGCTTTCTCAAATGGTGAAAAAATGCCTTATTTAGGCCCCAAAACACTTGTTTTTGTTTGATAAATGTTGTTTAAAAAATTGACCACTTTTTCGGCGCGGCCACCCACCCCCATCCAAAAGATACATCAGGGGGTTGCCAGAAAGGGGATGTGCCCCCTTCTGTCTGGGGGGTTTGAAGGGGGGCTGAGTCCCCCTCATCGCCAAGAAAACTTTGGACTTGTGGGAGGCTAAAAAAGGTCCCAGGTCAATCATAAGGTAACGTGTAACCAATGCTGAAAAGCCATTGACTCTATCTCAATCCATTGAGAAGTGGCAGCACTTTGAAATCAATTTTGATGGAAAAAATCAACTCAAAATAGTGATTTTTGGCAATTTTGAGATGTCCCCTAGTTGCTATGGTAACAGGGTAACAGGAAATTTCAGACTGAACATGTTGTTACAAAGGCAATGGTCCAGTCAACATTTGTGCCAAGTTTGATTAGTATTGAAGCAGTTTTTATAGTTTTATAGCAACTTGAACTTGTAACGGGAGACCTTTCAATGAAAACAGCCATTTTTCACAAGATGCTCATGGGGTAATTGGTTAATAACTTTTCTATCTTGATAAAATATTAGAAATGATAGTTTAACGTCTCAATTCTGACTAAAAGGGCGCAAAGAAAAGAGGAATTGATAAAAGATTGAACTTGATTTTCTGTCAGAATGTTAGCCACTTTCATGGTATTTCTGCCA